TTGATGATGCAGGTATAAAGTCAGAGGCAATTTTCTTGGCATGACCTAATTTTACTTCATCAAGGCGGCCCAGAGATAATGTTAGCGTTGAGGAGTTCAGGTCTGGTGCTGTTAAGATATTGCAAGTTCTTTCTCGATAAAAACAGAAAAGTGTAGAATACTAGAATTTTATGATTTTTAATGAGAAAATGAATCCGAATAATACCTTACAAAACACCTAATTTTTCTCTAGAGTAATAGTCCAAATTTTGAATGTCGACCTTTTTTTTGACGTCGGCTGCTACTTATTTTCTTGCATTATAAATATTTTTATTTTAACCATCAGGCAGTTTATGCCTAAAATCGCCTATAAAATAACATTTCAAATAAGAGACGAAGCTGAACAAACTAATAAGCCTGGATAATAAACTAGGGAATGTAGGAATCCTTACCATTCTTGGACGATCAAAGTCCTTACAAAAATTCAAGAGAATAGCTAGACATCTCTATGGAAATGTAAAACTTATATTCGACATTAACCTAAATGTAGAATGCGATTTAAACCTAGTTAATACAAGTTTTTGCATATTTTTTGCTCTTTATTTATTTTATGGTGAAAATAATACCTAAATATTTGCTATTATATTATATTCAAAAGTAATTGGATAGCATATCATTTCTGAGCCTTTTCGTTTATAAGTGGGGTTTCCAGACTTCCAGTAAATCAGATATATGAGATGTATTTCCCATATTTTGTTTAAGATGATGAAGGACTGGTAGTTCAATTTTTCCATAATGACATGAGTATAACTGACGCTTCCATTGAATTTCTGAAAAGTTGCTATCATCCATGGTGGACTGCAGTTTTGACCTCATATAATTCTGATCGAAACCCCCAACGGGATTCGAACCACGTCAATGAAGCTCGTAATCTAGATACGTTAACCACTAAACCACATTTCCCAGAGTTTCTTTGGGTCACAGGGCAGATAGAATTTCAACCAAGGCCTGTCATTTTCTCGTGTCAAGTACGGCTGGGGGTGCTGATGAGACCTAGGATGGATTGAAACTGCAGTCCAGCCTTGATGATAGTACCCTTTGGTGAAGCAATGCTGTGAAATTTAATAGAAAGGTTAGATCTACTCATATCATTGTGATAAAATTCAACTACTAGTCCTTCGTAGATACCAAGAGAAATTTGGTTTTGATGAATCTACTGAGATAACATTGTCAGGAGGACCTTCATTTCGAATAAAAGTGCATGAAGAAGAGATTCGTTGATCGATCTCACTAGATGAAGACCGATACTGCCTAGGTCCGTAAACAAGTATGATTGAGATAATGAAATATGAGTTTGTAAGCATAATAATCAAGTTACAAAACCACTTGTCCTAACCTTTCAGTCAAGGGTCATGAACGTTTAACCCTCTAAGGAAAGGCAAGACTGGGATTGCGTAATCTGACATGTCTGGTTTGTTTGAAGAGCCTACTCTAACATTTTGGGCGAATGTAAGTGAAATTAGAACCATCACTGAGCATACAAATTCAATCGCCTTCTTCTTAAAGGCGGCTCAACACCCTCTCTCTTTTTCAATCGATCAATCAAGCATAAGTAATTCCTACTCAACTTTCTACCACCGTTTCTCCCATTCAACGTATTTCCTAATCTATTAATTTCAATAGCCTCTCTTATCGTTCTTTTAAACACAGACGTACCGTAATCAGCAAACCTACTAATTTGAGACCATTTTATTTCATGTCCAGTATCTACGATGTGTAAGATTTAACCTTTTACAAGTCTGATTTAGGAACCGTATTGCATATAAACGCTAACACACACAAATATACATACTCATACACTCGAGCAAAAGTAACAGGACCAGTATGAAAGATAATTAACCAAACCACTTTATATCGATCTATCTAGGTTTTTTAATTTCTTTTGGCTCGATTGAGTCTATATAAGAAGTAAGATAGGGCCGGATAGTGTTCTTGCTTTAGTGTTAACGTGAGACTTTTAAAAGAATGACACTCAGCTCTAATGATGTCCATCATATGATGGAAGTCTCATGGACTGCATCAACATAAATATCGTATAAAAGCCAATCGGCTGCAATACAACGAGTTTCATCCGTCCTCATCTGGTGAGATCAACCAACGAATCTCTTCTCCATGCATTTTCATTCGAAATGAAGGTCCACCTGACAATACTAGTACTTCATCACCTTAAACAAAATAGGATAAATACATCTCATATTTCTGAAATTGCCTACATTTAGGCTCATTTGTTAAATTGATTGGTGTGGCTTGTACGCTCCAACTTCGGATGATCAGAAAAAAAGAGTAACGCTTTTACACAATAAATTCACAAACATAAAGTATAATTAGGTGAGTATTTGGATTGTATTTTCTACCCAAATAATTCTTTTGTCTAATGTTGAATACACCCGTCAGTGAAGTTCATAGACATGACTTACCTCTGTAGTTGACCTCCATATTAATTTTGAAGAAGGCCATCTCACTAGAACTGGCCACACATTCTAATTTGTAGATGCCGCCGAGAAAGCTGGAGTCCAGTGTAAACGGATTAGTCAACTCTTTGCCTTCTAACTCCATTCCTTTGGGTGAATCCATGACCAGTATGTAGGGTCGGCCGTATAATTTGTTAAAAGAGGGATCCAAATTACATGATACTGATGAATCCTCTTTGTAGTAAGAAAGTATGGGGCTGAAGTTCAGAGCGCTGAGTTCTGTATGATACAACATAAATACACGCAGTCAAAATAAGACTGAAGTAAGCCTCTTTAAAATTCGGTTGTCTACCATGAGGATTTGAATTAACGTAATTTAATTCTGCTTCTGGAATTTGATGTTAGTATATTTCTAGGAACTGGACACAATATCTCAAAATTTAGGCGGTTTGAAAACCTGGTTAATGATGCAAACGAAGGCAGGAAAGAGATTGTAAATCTAATAAAAATATTTCGGTATTTTCCCGCCAAGAAAATAGGATTAATTTGATTATGGTGTATACATGCTTCCAAAAGGGGAAATGGAGGATGAGCTGTGCTTTAATTAGCTTGAATCTTTGGGATCTGCAGCTACATGAAAAAAAGCCTAAAGCCTAGACCATATTCAGTATGAGCACGCTTTGAAATTATCACTATCCTTGAGCAAGAATTTATTCTGTTTAGGTCGCTCAAGGCAATTTAAGGACTGATAGTGGAGGCCACACGTTGCCTTCTTCTTATAATTAATCTTGACTCCCAAAGATTTCTTATTCAGACCAGATTGCAATTTTGGCCATAAATAGGTTTCATTGGCACTTTAAAATGGATTTTAAACAGAGTTGTAGACATTATTTGAACATTAAATTCCCCTTAAATAAGCACGGATGGAACTCTGTCACAAG